TGACCTCGAACATCACAGTGTGTATTCTTCTTTGACTGGCTTTTGCTCAGCATTTTGTTTTTGAAATTCATCTATGTTGTTCTGTGTGTCACTAGTTTTTCTTTTTATTGCTGAGTGACATTTCATTGCATGAATGATCCACCATTTGTTGCTCTGTTCTTTGATATTTGCGTTTTTAGTTTTGTCCTGTTAAGCATACAGCTGTACTTCTGGATACACATCTTCTAATAGACACATCCACTCACTTCTCTTGGGAGTGTGATCACCTGTGCACGGGATTGCTGGGGCCCGGGGCGACCCTCGGAGCTTCATGACCACATAAGCAAACCTTGAAGAAGATAAAGATGCATTATTTATTGATCTCAAGTTTTTCACTGCTCCTTCCCTCTCCTACACCAAGACCTGTCCTGGAGACCCCACCCAGCTGAGTCTGTTCATTGTTTTTTCATTATTCCAGAAACTAATGAGGTTGCACAAACCCAGAGAGAGCAGCGCTGTGAATTCCCACACGCCCACACCCGGCTCCAACCACAGTAGCTACCTTTCCAGTCCTGCCTCATCTATGCCCCTAACCGTTTTTTTTGTTTTGTTTTGTTTTTTTTGCTGGAATATTTTAAAGCAAATCCTGGACCTCACATAGTTTTAGCCACAAATGCTCCAGCACACATCTCTGACACATGAGCGTTATATTTAACATCACTGTCACACCTAAGAAAAGTAACATGGATTTTTTACTACAATTTGTGTTCAGATTTCCCAGTTGTCTCAAAAACATTTGTGCGTGTGGATCAGGACCCACTGAAGGTCTGCACATCGCACATTGTTAATACTTAAGTTTCTTTACATTTAGAACAGTTCCTTCTTTCTTTTTCTTTCTTTTTGTATGTGTGTGGCATTTATTTGTTGAAATAACCGATTTATCTGATCTGCAGACATCCCCTTTCTAGACTTTCCCAGGTAGATGCTCATGGGTCATACATGGCCATACACCATATTTTCTGGGGGTTAGAATTACAGGCACGATTAGACTCTGGTTTAATTTTTAACTTTCTTACTTTTGCAAATATCACACTCTAGGTGGCCTCGGGCACTCATCGCCCGCGTGAGCAGGTGCCTGATGTCTCGCTTCCCACCTCAAAGATGCTGAGCCTGATCACGGAGGCCTGTGGCCCACGAGCGTCCCTTTCCCCCTGTCCCCTCCCCAGGATGCTTGCTTCCTGCTCTACTCCCCCCCCGGCCGCAGCCCCCCGACCCCCTACGCCTTATCCTCTCCAGTGGGGCCCCAGCAGGCCCCCTCACAGCCTAACCAAAGAAAGTGAAATGCCGTTCAAAACCAGAGGGCCTGGCGCCACTTCTCAGCCCAGTTTTGGGGTTTATAACCCCAGAGTGTCTGCACGGGGACGGATTTGGAGGTCAAACAGGGGCTCCGTTAGGCGTGGGCGCCCAGGCCCGTCCCCATGGGTGATGCCTGCGAGGGGCTCCCGAGCTGTACACTGGAGAACGCTCCTTTTGAGGGACCCCGGAAGGCTGCTTGTTCTAAAGGCATTCTCTTTGTGGACGCCAAGTCGGCTTTTTTAGAAATTTTCAGTAGGTAGTCGTAGGTCTGCCCTTTGCAGGGCACCCCGAGGAGTGGCGCCCCTGGAGGCCGTTTACAGTCAGGCACATTCCGGCATTTGTACTTTCACTTTGACCCCCTTGTTTAGTTTTGATTTTTAAAAAAACCATGCTATAAAATTCACCGTTTTAACCATTCTTAAGTGTGCAGTTCAGCAGTGTCAACTGTACTCACATTGCTGTGTAACGGATCTCTAGAAGTCTTCACTTCCAAAGCGGAAACTGTACCCACTGAGCAGCACCGCCCCCTCCCCTCCCCCGGGCCCCTGGCGACCACAACTCTACCACTTGCTGCCATGATTTTGACCAGGCTAAATACTTCATGTAACTGGAATCATACAGCGTTTGCCTTCTTGTGTCTGGCTTCATTCACTCAGCATGATGTCCTTAAGGTTCATCCATGATGTAGCAGGTGATAGGATTTCCTTCCTTTTTAAGGCAGAATAATATACCCCTGTGTTTGTGTGTCTTTCACATTTTCTTTATTCATTCCTTTGTCAGTGGACATTGGGCTTCACCCTCCTCTTGGCCGTTGTGAATAACGCTGCAGGGAACACGGATGTGTGAATTGCTCTTCAAGATCCTGCTTTACATTCTTTTGTATGTACACCCAGAAGTGGGATTGCTGGATCCTAGGGTAGTTCTATTTTAAGTGTTTGAGGACCCTCCATACTGTTTTCCCTAGTAGTTGCACCATTTTACGTTCCCACCAGCAGTACACAAGGGTTCCAGTTTCCCCACTTCCTTGTCAACACTTGTTATTTTCTGTTGTTACTGTTTATTTTTAATAGTGGCATCCTAATGAGTATGAGGTGATATCTTCTGGTTTTAACTCGCACTTCTCTAAAGATTAGAGATACCAAGCATCTTTTCATATGCCTGTTGGCCATTTGTATACCTTCTTTGACAAATGTCTATTCAAGGTTTTGTCCATTTTTTAATTGGATTGCTTGTTTTTTTGTTATTGAGTTATAAGAGTTCTTGAGATAATCTAGTTACTAACCCCTATCAGATAGATGATCGACTATATTTTCTCACACTCTATAGATCGTTTTCTTTAATGTGCAGAAGTTTTAAAGTTTGATGTAGTTTCGTTTATCAATTTTTGCTTTTGTTTCCTCTGCTTATGCTGTCAAATCCAAAAAATCATTGCCAAATTTGATGTCATGAGGCTTTTCCCCTATGTTTTCTTCTGAGTTTTATAAAGCTTTATGTTTAAGGTTTTAATCCATTTTGAGTTAATTTTTGTTTGGAGTGTAAGGTAAGGGTCATTCTTTTGCACATGAATATCCAGTTTTTTAACACCATTTGTGGAAGAGACTGTCCTTTCCCCTGTGTGGTCATGGAAGATCATTTGACCGTATACCCAAAGGCTTATTTCTGGATTCTTTGTTTTGTTCCTTTGGTCTATATGTCTGTCTTTATGCCAGTACCCCACTTTTTTTTTCATTAGTACCATGGCACTGTAGTATGTTCTGAATTCAGGAAGAGTGAGGTCTCCAACTCTATTCTTCTTTTTCAAGATTTTTTGGCAATTTGGGTCCCTTGAGATTCCATATAAATTTTAGGATTTTTTTTCTCCATTTCTGAAAAAAAAATGCTATTGGTATTTCAAAAGGATTTGCACTGAATCTGTAGATCTCTTTGGGTAGTATGGACATTTTAGCAATATTAAGTCTTCCAGTGCATGAACACATGTCTTCCCACTTATTCAAGTCTCCTTTAGATTCTATCAGCAATGCTTTGTAGTTTCCAGTATAGTTTCCTTGGCTGAGTTTATTCTTAAATATCTTATTCTTTTTGATGCTATTGTAAATGGGATTGTTTACTCTTAATGTATAGAAATACACTGATTTTTGTGTTAATTTTTTTGTCCTATAACTTGGCTGAATTTGTTTATTAGTTCTAACAGGGTTTTTTGGTGGGAAGGAGATTTAGGGTTTCTATGATCAAGAAATGTCATCTGTGAAGAAAGATAATTTTCCTTCCTTTCCAATTTGGGTGCCTTGAATTACTTTTCTCTTGTCTAATTGCTCTAGCTGGAACTTCTAATACTATGTGGCAAGAATAGGAAAATTTACCTTGTTCATGACCTTAGAAGAAAAACTTCAAGTGTTTCATTGTTGAATATGATGTTCACTTTAGGCTTTATATAGTTTACTTTTTAAAATAAAGGATTCTTGGACTGCTTTTGAAACCTAAACTTTGGACAGATACTAGCAGGCATTTGAAATGATAGCCCAGGATGACCAACTGGCAACAGAAGGTATGTATATGGATTTTCTAAATGTGGTTTTATGGAGACACATGGAAACTGTACCTGTCTTGTGGCTACAGTCTCCTGAGCACAGGTTTCAAGGGCAGTGATTGACAAAGGATATCCAATCTGTGTGGCTATAAGTCATTTGCCTCAGGTGGTCCTTTAAAACCCACTCCACTATTTACACATGTGAGTTCAGCATGAACCAGCTACCATCGTGAATGGGGTCACTCTTCTTGGGCCTGTTGAAGCAGAAGAACTTGGAGAGGGAATGGTCACCGCCTTCCTTCTAGCCACTTGGTGGCTTTAGAGCCTCAGGGTCTAAGTTTAGAGGTCTTTTCCCTCTAGACTTGAATGAGAAAGGGGAAGGAAGAGCAACCAGGACAGGACAGAATAATGCCCTGAAGAGTCTTGGAACAATCGTCGGTGAATAAAAAGTAGACATTCAGCAAGAAGGGAACTGTGAATTGCAGCTACGAGAAATTAAGAGACATCACCCTGAGGAGGGCCCACTTGCATTTGGGAGCTGTGTCTTGGTTTTTTAAGTGATAAGTTGACTTGGGATGAAAGGAGACAGAGAAGCTTCATTAGTTCATTTACCAACCTAAGCCACCTGCTGAGCAGGCATCACAGACTACTGAGGACAGAACACACGCCCACACCTCACGTGATCTGAGGGGGCAGTCAGTGCCAGGTAGGCACGAGGAGGGAGGGCTGTGGGCAGCGGACAATGTTAATGGTTTAGGAATTCCTCCTCAGCAGTTACCATTTCTCCTCAAGAATGATCCCTGAGCAAACGGGCACCTTCCTTGGCTCATTAACTGCCAGTGTTGCAGCAGTGCCTTCTCAGCACCCACTTCTCTCTTACCAACCCTAGTTCTCATTCTGGTTTACCCGCCATGTGGGGACTGTGACTCGGTGCACGGGTGTGGAGAAAAGCCACCCGGCAGACAAGCAGATAGAGCCAAGAGGCAGAGGCAGAGAGAGAACCCATGACTTAAACACGGCTGCAGAACTCAAACGAAACCGGCCAGGGAACGGCGTGCTCCAGCTGACTTAACTTCCGGTGGACAAGTCTCTGGTGGTGGTTGTGGTGGGGTCTGGGGTCTAGGACTGGAATCGAGGGAGAGCCGAGGGCCTGGTGGGCTGGAGGCAGGACAACATCTTTGCCGGCCCTGGCGTTGGGCTCCCATCTGCAGGACCGTTGACCCTCACTTCCCGCGGCTGGCCATGCGCAGGGAGCTTTTCAGCCGCTGATGTGCTCAACCTCCAGAAAAACAGGATGTGCGCTCTCAGATCTGACTAAGCCGCGAGATGCAAAGTCCTTCTGCACCCCGCCCCAGCCCAGCTCCCCAGCCGCTACCGCCCGCACGTTGCCTTCCCACAGCGGGATGCGCTCAGCCTCCTGGTGATTCCACCGGGCTGCCTGCGCCCTCTGCTTCATTACCAGCTGCGCCCAGCAAGGTAGACTGCGTGCCTAAACTGTTTCATGAGGGTTTCAGATTCATGATGAGGAGACAGCCACATCCCCGGGTGGCTGAAGAGGATTACCATCAGCCTAGGAAAGGAGAATGGTTGAGGGACGCTGCCTGTAGGAGGCACGTAGGGTCCTGGAGCCCCCAGGCCGCTGTGGCCCCCTGCAGAGAGTCTCTCCAGAGGGCGATGCCCCGCCTCTGTCCCTGCCCACTCTCACCCAGTCTCTTGCTATTTGTTCCTGCCTTAAGTCCCCACCATGTGCAATGAAGGAAACAGAAACAGAAAATGCAAATCAGAAGCAACTCTGCTCAAGGTCAGTAATCTTACAAATTCAAATGTCACCTATTTTTACAGGGGCAAATGCCAAGCATAAAACATTCCCAGAACAACACTCAAGGAGGGGCAGGCTCCCTATAAGGAGGCCAGGGTGAATTCCAGACTTAAGGTCTCCTGTGCGCTCTGTTGGCACAGACACAGTGGCCCTCACGTCTCTCTCTCCCCACCACGACCCCAGGCTCCTGGGGCCCTTTGCTCATAAGGTTCTTCCACCCAGAGCCCACCATCCCACCTCCCCGGGGCAGGGCTGGTCAGCTTCCTCCTCCTCCTGCCCCCAGACCCTCCCTTCTTGTCAGTCTGGTCTTCCTTCCTCAGAACCCAGCCCTGCGCAGACTTACACCACTTTGGGATATTTAGCATTTAGTTTGCATTATGATTCCAACATTCAAGGGTCCACTATTTATTGCCTTCTTGGATAAAGGACACCCTTGTGAGATAGGGACTCTGTGTGGGCCTTGCAGGGCTGAATGGCATTGGGTACCCCAAGATGAGACAAAGCTAAAGAAGTCTCAAATACCATCACAGGTCAGGGAGCAGAAAAGGTGAATGTAAATATATGAGTACAAGGACTATAATGAAGACATTCTCCAAAACTAAGAAATCATGGAAAAGACTTCGGCACCAGGAGTTGTGAGATTATTCAATGGGATGAAATTTAGGAAAGAAGGTCAAATCGTTGATGATGCTGAAAATCAACCAGAAAAACTTAATGCATTAAGTTTATGCATTATTTAAATCAGGGCAACTTAAAATTGGTTTCCAAAAGGAAGCAATACTTTTCAAGACAGTACAATTTATTCAGATTGAGATGTGAAAAACCAAGCAGCTCCTTTTTTGGCATATGCAAGCAAAAAATGCAGAATTGAATCTGAACTTAGAATATTCAAGGACTAGTAGATAAGGTACAAAGAAGAAAAAAACAAGACAAAGTTGATCTTTCTTCCAATGAGGGGCTGCAACCAAGCAGAGAAATTAGGAAAAATCAGCAGAAGTCATAAGCAGAGGGCTTGGAACTGAGGTGAACGTGGAACCGTGCTGTGAAGGAAGCTGCCTTGGCGCCTAGACCTGCCGCTGGGTATAATCAGTTCTTCCTGATGAGGGATGGCCCAGGGTTTATCGTGCTCCCCCCTTGCTAGCGCTATTTTAAGCATCTCACATGTATTACTCATTATTTAATTCTTACAACTCTCTACGACAAATTCTGTTATCCCCATTTTACAGATGAAGAAACTGCAGAGTAAAATGGCAAAGTAACTGGACCAATGTCACAGTCGGTCCTGAGCAGTCCCGTTTCAGCGCTGCTCTTTAAATCTCTGTGCTGTCCTCTGTGTATGACTCTGTCTGTCTTTGCTATGTTTTTAGGTGGACAGTGGAGAACTGGATACAAAATGGATTATCTACCTCTTTTGCATGGAGCCAGTGTCCATTCATTCATCCAACAGGTAATTACCAAATTTGAAACTGGCACTCACTGTAGAACTTTGACCAAGACAGAGTGGAATGTGTCCCCATTAAGCTTAAGTTTTGCGGGAGGATCAGGAACACAGACAGTGATGCAGGGATCCTCGCGATGACAGGAACAGCACAGGCACCAGGAGAGAATAGGAAGCGTGTCTCTCCCAGTTGGTAGGGGACTGGGCCGCCAGAACCATCTTCCTGGAGGAAGTCTAAACTGAGAACCGAGAGATGAGTCAGAGTTAGCTTTGTGCAAAGCAAGGAATGTGTTCCAGGCAGAGGAAAGAGCTCATTCAAGGACCTGAAAGCAGTTCGGGCCAGCTGGAGTGTAGAACACCCAGTGTCTTCTGTTAAGAAGAGGCCAGGGAGGTAAGCATGGCCACGTCCGGAAAGGGTATGAGTTACATGTTTTGGGATCATGGCCTGTGGAGTGAAACAGAGATGGTGGGGTGAGCGGTGAGTCAAGGCTGGAAGCAGGGACAGCAAGGAGATGTGGGGATGAACCAGGTCGCTGTCCCCTTAACTCAGGCAAAGGATGGCAGTGACAATATGGGTGGGAGGTTGTGGGGAGTGACGTCAAGGATATTTCAGAGCTGAAGCTGTAGCGCCTGCGGTAGAGATGAAGGAGGAAGGGTGACTCCCTGTTCTCAGTCATGAACAAGTGGATGGATAGGGAGACCATCACAAGAGGGAAAGAGAAACTGATGGGTTAGGACATAGGTTTTTAGTAGATTTTTGCAAATGTGTACTTTGCCAGGGTTGAAAATGAGCATTGTTTCCACATAATTCTTTGCCTGCTATCCATGCAAAAAAAATAAAGGGATGGGTGGTGGGTGGCTCTTTGGTATTATTCTTTCTTATAACCTGTTTCACTTTATTGCTGTGGAATCACTGGAGATGCTCATTTTAAGGCCATGTGAGTAACTTTCAGCTTTGGACAAGCTCCTGTTCAATCCCAGATACCAATTCATGTTAATAAATGCCTTTAGTGACAGAACCACAACACCACTTACCATTACTGACGAGATCCTAGAAGAAATTGTGATATGAAATTACTTCATGAAAACATACCTTTAATTCTGTAAATACACCCCACTTTCTTTCCAGAAGAAATTGGTTATTTTTTATTTTAAGGATAAGAAAAGATAAAGGATTATCTAGACCACGGGCTGTCTGAAATTTAGATAGGAATTAAGACACTTCCAATTCTGAATAAAGATTACTCTTATATTTTTTTCGTCTAAAATTCTTTTCTTCCCAGAAGATATTAGCTAGATTTCCCACTCTCTTTTTCTGCCTCATCTTCTCCCATTTCCCTGTTTATCTGTGGGTACGTGTGTGCGTGTGCATGTGTGTGTCTCTTTCTGCGCTTCCATGGCAGTCTCTTTGTCCATGTCTCCACTAAGTATTTTTCTGAGGGACTGCTGCTTTCTCTGTACTAATACATGTGTCTGATTTTTTTTCTTGAAAGTCTGTATCCATCTGAATAGTTGGAAGCTTTCAGCTGTAAGAAATAAATCATACTCAAATAGATTAAACAAACCATAAGGAAATTTATTATTTCACATAACAAGCAGTCTGGGGATAGTCCCTCCAAAGTTGATTAATTCAGTGCTTCAACAAAGTCATTGGGTTCCTTGTTCAATAAATAAATGAATATTTATTGATATTTTTGTGCCTGGCCTTGATTTAGGTACATGGGATACACACTGACAAAAAAAAGAAACAAAAATCTCTGTCCTCATGGAGCTTACATGCCGACTCTTCCAAGCTTTGCCTCGTGGTAGCAAGATGGTTGCTGCAGTTCCAGGCATCAAATCAGGTAGGACAACACCCTATATTTACAGGGCATCTCTTCCAATGTGTTTCTTTATTAGAAAGGATAAAGATTTCCCCTTGTATCTCATTGGCCAAAATTTCTTCACTTATTTCTTTCTAAAGCAATTACTTTAGGCAAATGGAGTGGTATTTCCACAGTTAGTTTATGCTGTTCAGAATTTACCTTTTTATGGAAGCTTAAAAAAGCACTGACATGAGGCACCCAAGACCTGGGGTGCTTGCAGTCATAGATACAGTTTTCTAAACTCTTTGGGTCATTCTAGTTCATTCAACAGCCAGAGTTGAAGCTGGTGCTCAGATGCTCTGCATGACACATTTTAGGGTTGAGGGGTTGAGAAGGTTTGAGTTTCCTTGTAGACCTGCTTAATTTCATTCCTGAACCTGGGATATCCCTCAGAAGGAGCAGGCCCATCTGTTGAGGCCTCCAGACTATCCTCTTTGGCACTGGTGGCTAGACCAGTGTCCTAGCAGGGCTACCCCCCGTGCCACCCCAGGAAATCCCCGATGGCCCTCCTCTCAGCTGCGGACACCCAGCCCTTGCTCAGGGTACCTGGCCGAATACAGTCCCCAGCAGTTTGTCCAGCCTTCCCTCAGTCCTATTTGGTTCTTTGTTTTCTTCTTTTTAAAATTAAATCTCTCCTCCAAAATCATAAAAATATATGTGTTTATTTGTGTAAAAATACACGTGCAACCGCGGAAACAGCACAAGGACGCCTGCACAAAGAAAGAGTCGGATGATCTTTCCCTGCCACCTCCATCACCCTTCCTTCCAGGAGACCAGGCCCCTTCTGCTCACTGTCTCTCTCCATCACCAGTGTCAGCAGGCCCCTGGCCCACCCTGGGGGTCTCTGTGGGGGGAGTGGGGAGGAACAGGGGGGATGGGCAGGGGGTCAGTCAGAATCAAAGAAATGGGAGGGCTTAATTCATACCCCACCATCTTTTCTCTTAACTCTTCAGTTCAAAATAATTTTAAACTTTGAGAAAAGTTGTAGGATTAGCACGATGAATTCCCATATATCTTCCATCCATGGATTCTTGACAGTTTTGCTAACGATCCTAACAATTTCTTTTTTTTCCCCAGCTTTATTAAGCTGTAATTGACACATAAGATGGTAAGCTGCTTAGCGGGCACATCGTGCTGGTTCCGTAGATGTGCCCGTGGCAATTCCTGTGATATTCCGAAGAGTCCGGGAGCTGGCCCGAGCCACACGTGGGCCCCCGTCTCGTAGGGCTGGTCCCCTCTGACCTGGAACGCTTCCTCGGCCTTCCCTTGACCTTCCTCACATTGACTTTCTTAGAGGTTACAGAGCAGACACGTTGAGGAATGTCCTCCTCTGAGGCTTGTCCAGCGTTTCCTCATGCTCAGATTCAGGTTATACACACTTTTGGCCAGAATATCACAGGAGTGAGGGTGTGTTCTTCCCATCGCATCCCATCCGGTGGCGTGTGATGTCAATTTGTCCATCACTGGTGGTGTTTGCTGTTGACCCCATCACTATGGTGCCTGTTGGGTTTATTCTCTGTAAAGTTACTTTTTCCTCCTTTGTAATTAGTGAGTAACCTATAGGGAGATGCTTTGAAATTATATAAAATTCCATTCCTCATCCCAATTTTATCTATGATATTTAACATCCAATAATTTTTCTGACCTGAAATTATTATAACTGTGATGGTTACCATACATCAATTCTCTTCTAAAAATTTTTTTTACATTTGCCCATTGTGCTGTAAGAGCTTTCTCTTCTCCCCCTTATTTATTCACATTTTTGCTTATGTCAGTTTACACTCATGAACTCCTATTTTAGGGTTATACTTCTTAGCTATCATTATTATTTTGATCCTATGTTATCCCAGTATTGCCAGTGGGAGCTCCTGTGCGTGGGCTTCTGTGTTCTTTTAACATCTCCAAGTCGTTCACTGAGCACTTCCATATTTTCTGGCACAAAAAGATGCTCCAGGCTTATCTTGTTCTTTATCTGCCCCAGCTCTGTAAGCATCAGTCATTTTCTCTAAGGACCTCGGTCCCTTTAGTGCAGAATGGTAGTTAGAAGCCAAGATACGGGTTTTGTATGCACTGATTGCCACTGGGCTGTCACTATCCCCAGACCTCTCAGTGTATCAAACTACGACATCTGTGCATAGGTACACACACACATCTGTGTCTACCTTTCTCTGTCTATAGTTTGAAAGCTGTGACTTCACACTAGGACCTCCTGTTCCGGTGCAGTGCCGTGGAGGTCACTCTAGCCCCCTGTGTTTGTACCTTCCTCCCCATCAGTGAGAAACCTGTGCCCATTGGTTTCATCCATTTCCCTGTGTAGCCACTGGCCCGATCCCGGCAGTGCCTGTCAAAGCCTCCCTCACGAGGTGCCACAGCCTCCACACTCCCTGAGGCTCCACGGCTGCCCCGCTTGGGGCTGCCCCATGCTGATATGGGCACGGTCTCCGCTGCCCAGGCTGCATCTCTGGTTGCTCCTTGTTCTTCATTCTGACCTTTATTTACTGCTTGCCTGGTTCAGACTACCAGGGTGTGTGGCGAGGGGGGCCTGAGGGAGAGCAAAGGAAGTGGAAGTGGGTCCCAGCACCACAGAGAGGGAGGAGAGCCACCCCCTCAGAACCACTCTCCCTTCCGCTTGGCCTGTCAGTTCCTCGCGGCCCACAGAGCAGCGAGTCACATCCCAGGTGACCCAGCAAAAGCAGGCTGTTCACCAGCAGCATCATCTCTGTTCTGACACCTGGGGATCTTCTGGAGGGGCAGGAGCAGAGATTGCACCCCCACACCGACTCACAGCTGCTGAAGCTGAGCTGTGGGCTCTCCCTCCCTCCACCCTTCTCTCCTCATTTTCTGTCCTCCTCTGATGAGGTCTTGGTCTAAGGCCAGAAGAGCTCTGGACCAGCATCCCAGCCTGAAGGTTTTGAAACCCAGGGACATGGCAGAGGCTGAGCTTGTGTGCATTGCTGGCAGAGGGTCCCAGCCTGAGCAGGGCGTGGGGAGCAGCTGCAAGTCCCTAACAGCTTCCTTCGGGTGGGCACTTCTGCCCTCCTGCTTGTGAAGCCAAAAACCTGTGCTGGGGCAGCCCCACTCTGAGCAGAAGGGACTAAATGGAAGCAGAAGGGAAAGGCCGCACAAGTCAGGGCCCAGAGGCTGCTCCTGCCTGCACTTTGGCGAAGGACTAGGAACTGTCACAAGCACAGGCATATTCATCCCAAGGCCCCAGGGCACTTCCACCGCTGTCAGCTCAGCCCTTGAGTCCTCACCTCCACTGGGTGGCTGGAACAGGAGGGGGCTCATTCCCCTTCACCAGGCCCCAGAATGCCCAGCTCTACGCAGAAGAAATCCTGGGTCCCTATTCATTTGAGCTTGTACCCATGGCTAAGCATGTCAAAATAGCTTCCCAGTTCAGAATGTCTGCTAAACTGTGTAGGGGAGGAAATGAGGATCAGAGAGGTTAAGTGATGTGCCTAAGGAAACACAGCTAGAAAGTAGCAGAGCTGCAATTTAACCCTTCAGGTGTCTCTGAAATCAAGGGTCTTGGCCCTATTCTCAGCTGAGTTAAATGAACTAGCAAACACTGGCATTTGGACTTAGAAAGTCAGGCCGTAGCAGGTTCTGTGACAGGAAGGAGGCCCTATTTCTAAGACAGGTGCCAAAGCAGGAATCTCCATTGGGGGAGGGGGGTGTTGGGATGAGGGGCAGAGTCAGGGCCGTCCTTCACAGCCTGAGTGAATTCTCTGCTGGTTTCCTTTCCCGGTTTCCCCATACAGCTCCTTCATGCGGCTTCACTGCCCAGCCCAATGTCCACCTCTGAGACGGCGCGGGCTTTCCCAGGGCCAGCTGGGTCTGGGGGGAGCGGTGGGGAATGGGAACACTCCAGAATGACGCAGAGGCACCCCTTCCAGCCAGTCCCCTGCACACACAGGTCTTCTCTGAAGGTGTTTCACGTCTTGCTCCCTGCCGTTGGGACAGCGATCCCGAGAGGCACGTAGGGCTGGTGGCAGCCGGGCAGGAACCTGCTGCAGATTCCAGTTCCTGGGTGCTGTCGGAGCAGCCTCCCTGCGAGGGGGCGAGGGCGGCCCTGGGGGAGAGTGGCTATGTGGGCCTTACGGGAATCTGATGTTCAGGATTCGCACCTTATTCCAGGTAACAGGAACAGGGGAAAGGGCCTTCAGCAAGCCGCTTGTGGAAGCCAAAAGTTCCAGAAAAATCAAATACGTCGATCAAATTAGGAAAGAGGAAAAGGTTTACTGCATCCAACAGGCAGCTTGGAAAACTTAGCTTTGATTCCCCGTTTTTCTCCTCCTGCTGATACACGGATGAGAGATGACCAGATTGATGGGTAGTGGATTCTTGAGGACGCGAGACCGGGAGGTGCGCTGGGCGCTGCAGGCTGGGTCCCAACCGCTGCCCTTCTGGGTCCCTGGAGGCCGCAGAGCGGCGGCCGTGGAGAGTCACCGCTCGCCCACCGGGCTGCGGGCAACCGGGAGGCAGGGGGCAGTTAAGGGCAGAGGGCAGGGCGAGGGGCAGTAAGGGGGAGCGGAAGCGAAGGGACTAGAAAAGAAAGCAGATAAACTGAACGAAAGGCCAACGTTGACTTTGGGCGCGAGAGAAAGAGAGACGGCAAACGGAAGGCGGGGGTCGGGAAGGACGGAGACCGCGGTGAAGGGCAGGGTCCGGAGAAACCGCTCCGACGAGGGGCGCGCGGTGCCATCCCCTTGTTTGGGCAGATGCCTGGATCGGGGCCCGCCTGCTCGCGTCCGGCCCTGGGAGGGGACAGTGTCTGTTTAGATCTGTGTCTAAATTTAACCCTGGTCGCCGGGCTCCTGCCCCTCCTCCATCCTCCCCTCCCCCCACAGCCCGCCCCCGCCGCCGCCCCGAGCGGAGACCGGCCCAGCCCAGCCGCGCGCAGCCCGACCTCCCGGGCGCAGAACGGGGCGCGCAGAGCCCGACCGCCGGGGCGCAGAGCGGGGCGCGCAGCCCGACCTCCTGGGCGCAGAACGGGGCGCGCAGCCAGACCGCCGGGGCGCAGAGCGGGGCCGGCACCCGAGGACATGGAGGTACGGGGCGCGGGGACTCGGGCGCGCGCGGGAGGGCTGGACCCGGCCAGCTCCGGGGGACGGCGCGCCGCCGGGGACCCCTTGGGCGGCAGGAAGGGACCTCCTGTCGAGCGGGGAGACCACCCTGGGGGTCCCGGTGTCGGGGTAGGGGACAGACATGCTCCAGGAGCAAAGCTGGGCACAGCCAACTTGGTAACTAACGGCAAACGTGAGCGAAGCTCTCGGGAAGGCAGCAGCCGGCCGCGAAGGAGCGGCTGTGGCAAGGGAAGGAGCCGGCCCGAGAGGCCCTTGGCCGGGCTGCCGACTCCCGTGCCCGATGCCCCATCGCGTTGCAGGGTCCCGCCGCCGCTGCCCCCCAGCGCCTCTCCTGTCTGCCACATCTCCCCTCGGGGCTTTCTGAAAAGCTGCCTCGTGGCGCTCAGATGGCACTATTGCTGGGGAAACTCCTGCTGCTGCCTGCCCTCTGAGACCAGGTGTTCGGGGTGCTGGCCCCATCTGTTGGGTGCGTGGCGGAGAGGCACCCCTCTTCGCCTGGGCCTTTCCTGGCGCTGCTCCAGCCCCCACAGGTCCAGGCCCCCACCCCTGTCCAGCAGGGCACTGGCTGGTGTGCCCCTGCGCCCACCCCTCCCCACCCCCACATCCTGAGCTTCCCTAGATTGCCCCCCTGGACCCAGACCTGACATTTAGGCCTAGTCGGCCTCAGCAGGGCCCGGGTTTTTGGAAAGATGGAGAAAAAAGTTGCAAATGGTATCACGTAGCTTCTAGGGTGGTTTCCACCCGCCAGCCTCAGCCGCACTCGATGCACAGACAGTTCCGCTCCCTCCCCTGCTCTAGCTCGAGGCCCCGGGGCTCTTCTCAGCTTGGTGCTTCGTTTGACTTGCGAGGCTCCGTGACTCTGCAGGAGCAGCAGATCTTCGTGAGCAGGCGTCCTGCATTCAGGCATCCAGCCCAACCAGTTGTCTTTAAGGAACAGGGATCACCCTCAGGCAGGCTTAGAAAGTGTGGTGGGGCCCAGGCTGGACTGTCCACGGAAACATTTGCAAGTCAGGGAACAGGGCAGATGAGGGTGGGAAGTAACCTGGCAGGTGGTGCTCACGACTCTACCGGAAGATCAGACCCAGCAGGCACCAGGGTGGTCTGGGCGGTCCACAGCCTCAGGGCAGAGGAGGGAGCTGGCCCAGGAGACACCCGGCTTGTCAGGCTGGATGAAGGCTCCTGATGAAGTTGTCTTGGAGGTGGGTCCCCTCCTCTGACAGAGCGCCAGTGCCTCAGGCCCTGGGTCAGAGGCTCGATATGAAGTAGGACTTGTCTGATGTCCTGCAGTAATGGGTGGGAAGATTAAGAGCAAAGCAAGTGTAGGCTTACAGGCAGGTTGCTGTTGGAGGGCCACGTGCAACTTGGCAGTTTCTTGTAGGGACGCAAGGAACTCTTTCCATTTTCTTCTCCCTCCATTGAGGAATGAACAGTGTGTGGTAGAGGCCCTGAAAATGTCACCTGAGCGACTTCCTGTGTGGTTTGGGGCATGAGAAGAGAAGGCCTCCAACTTACAGACTGAGCTGTGCAGGGCCCCACGATCAATGCTCCCAAGGTGGGGGTGGGGGTGGGGGTGGGGGTGGGGGGCCCGCCCACCAGCCGGGAAGCCTGTGGGTTCACCCGGAGTCTGCAGAGGGTCTCTGGATTTGCTGGTGGGCAGTGGCTGCTTCTGAAGTTTGTCAAAACCCCTGAAAAAGGACCACAACTGTTAGCCTCCTGAAGGAAGTCAAGAGGCTGGGGAAGTGACGGTTCTTAGCCCGGAAGTAAGCTTTTTGCAGTGGGACGTGATACGCGGGTGTAGGACTTGGAATTCTGAAAAAAAGTGTCTGAGGAAAGCCCTCTCCTGAGACACAAGGGGACCGCTCTATTTAGGGAGAAAGTGGTTACATTACTTCCCAGTATTAGGAATTCAAAGCAGACCAGCAAGGCTTACTCAACATTCATTCTAGAATCCACTGACCTCCTAGAAGTCTTTGGGAAACCTTTTCCTTTTTAAAGTCATTGTTACTATTATCCAAAATATCAGTCATTAGTTCAGGCCTCATTAAGCCCTGGGGGACAAACAAGATGAAGATGCCTCCTAAAAGCTCACCATCCAGTAGTGGAAATGAGGCCTACTAGATCCTATTGTGTGTATCATTATCAAATGTGCCAGCCCCACATGAGTGGCTGCTGCAGAACAGAAGTTCTACAGTGTCTCAGTACTTGGAGGTGAGACTTGACAGAAACCTTGGTAGAAGTGTGGGTGGTGAGAACACAAAGGCACAAGGAATGGGCATGGGGAGAACACGCCAGCTGTATTCAGGAAGTAGGCCAGCTTGGCTGGAGAGGAAGGCAGAGAAGCCGAGGAAAAAATGAAAGGTATAAGATAAAACCCACAGGGCCCCCAAGTAGAGTGGATGCTGGCCAAGCGGGTGAGTATGAGCTGAAGTCCGAGCCCGTCAGAGGAAAGGGCTACTTTCTTCATACAAAGTCTCCTTGCCCAGCTGTGCCCTAAAGAGGTGCCTTTCTCGAATTCAGACAGAGGCTGGCTGCAGCCCTCAAAGGCCAGCAGGCCGGTGGCCCTGGATTCTGCTCCATGGACAGAGAGGAACCTGAGGGGTTTGGGTCGCATGGTGGCCATGATGGGGAAGGGGAAACTGCAGAAGTACTGGTCCTCAGGGTGAGCGAAGGGACCAGGCTGAGGTGCTTCCCTGGGTGTCCAGGCACATCCTGACTTCAGGAGAGAGTGAGAATAGGGACGAGGGAAGGGTAAAGACCATGTGTTGTGGGAGAAATAAAAAATGGCATCTGTGCTCCAGCTCGCCAGGGTGCCCAGCGGATTGGGGTCCAAGCACCGGGGAGATGGCCCTGCAGCCTCTACAGCTCTGTAAGCCTTCTGTCGGCAGGGCCTGCCCTGCTAGTCTTGAGGCCTCCAGAGACCAGCACAACGCCTGGAACACATTCATAGCATTTCTCAAGAAGAATTTGCCTGATAAATGGATTAACAGAAATAGGAAGCCCCTTCCCCTCTCGGTCCACGGCGCTCGTGTCTCTGCCCCGGAAAGCCTTCCCAGCTGCCCTCGGACTCCGCAAGCGCTCTCAGAGCCCTTTGTGCAAACTGAATGAGAGTCCCAGCGATTGTAACTGCCTGCCTACCAGGCCCTCTCCCTGGAAGTCCTCTTGAGGACAGAGGCCATATCTTAAAGATCTAAGGGCCTGATGGACACTCAATGCATTCTTGCTGAATGAGTAAATAAATGGTTGAAGATGGGAGAAAGATCAGATTTTTTAAAAAAGCAAGGTTTAGATATGTTGGTTTTGATTGTTCTAAATAGAAATGTCCAGGGCTCCATGAGAAACACAGTCCTTCATGATGCAGACATGTTTCTTCTCTAGGAGAGAGAATAGGCGAAGTTACTGCAGATGGGAGCCCAGAAGAGAGACGTGTACAGGAAAGAGAGCTGGAGACTTAGGACACCAAAATTAAATTCATATTCTTTGTTGCTAAAATATAAATTGTAAGCACTATGGTATAGCCTGACAGCGCTCTTGAGTCCGTGAGAATGGAATTTTACTACCACTGAACAGAGGCTGAATTTCTTAGACGGAGATCATGAAGGAGCTCTTTTCTCTGAGGCAACATACATCCTTGCCAGAGATTTTTATGCATCCATTTATTCAGTACTTATTGAGCATTTATTATGTTGTAGATCTTGTGTTTTAAATGTTACTTAAAAATTATTGGACTTCTGTGTCTATTCATCCTCACAGATGGTCAGTATTACTGATGTGAGAGAGAGAGAGAGAGGAGAGAGGTGGGGAGAGGCAGAGAATGTGTGTGGACCTACANTATATATATATATATATATATATATATATACACACATACACACACACACATGTGCATATACATATGTGTTCATTTTGTAATCTACTGTCTCACTGACATCTTTTTACTTCATTAAATATTTCCTGCCACAGTTTTACTAACAGCCCTTGTTGTTTTGGCCACCTTGTCACCGACCCATATGTTGGCTGCTGGCTGGAGCTTACAGGTCCTTGTTAGGACCTGCATGGCCTTTGGAAGCTGGAGTTTGGCTCAGTGAACTTGGGGGACATGCCTGTGTGCCCCCATGTTCCTTGCTGGCCCCCACACACTTTGTGGGACCCTCAAAGTCCACTGGCTTCCACTTAGCAGACACCTCCCATTTGCGGGCCTGCAGTGACAGCAGCCAGCCCACAAGGGCCCAGGCCCTGTCACAGGAGGGGGTGAGTGTGCACTCCTGGGTGGGAGTCAGGTTTCAGAGCCTGGCCCGCAGCGTGGCTCCCCGCAGCAAGGCCAGCCGGAGCCTGGCCAGCTCGGTGCCGTGGGAAATCTGAACACCAGCGGCTCAGCAGCCTGGTAATCTTATCAGGGCCCCAGGAGAACGCATTTTGGTTCCAGAGAAATCAGAGGCAGCCCTGCCTGCCTCCAGGGCTAGTTCCTGCTTTGCAGAGCCAGTCTGAGCTCCCCTCCTCACCTTACTGGATTCTGACCCCCTCAAAGCTCTGGGTGGGACGGAACAATGTCTAACTGCCCCTGCCGTGTTGTAAAGGAGAAGGCCAAGACACGGAGCCCCTGAGGCTGCTGGGACGCAGGCACACCGGACCTGTGGAAGCCCAGCAGCTGGCTTTGTTTCTCTCATTTGGGAAGTAGGTCAGCCTAAACCTTAAGAAGATCAGTTTCATCACAAAAGCAATATTACCTCATGTTCGGCCTTCAGGGTGTTATGTACACATTTTTATCTC